ACATGAGCGTGCAGTCAGTCGGCGTGCAGAGCATCCCTGACGCCGTGGTGGAGGGAGGTCGCAGCCTGGCGTCGCCGGCCCACAGCGTTGGCGTGAGGCCCGGTGCCGAACGTCCCATGAGCGTGCAGTCAGTCGGCGTGCAAAGCATCCCTGACGCCGTGGTGGAGGGAGGTCGCAGCCTGGCGTCGCCGGCCCACAGCGTTGGCGTGAGGCCCGGTGACGAACGTCCCATGATCGAGAAGCGTTTGGTGGGCCTTTCTCCTTGTGATCCCGAGGAGGATGATTGGTGCTGGCCACCGCGTAAACCGGAGTGGCGTTACGCGTTAGAATGTGCCGCTTTGGATCGCATTGTGGAGATGAATGATTGGTGTTTGCCACCGCGACGAACAGAATTCATGCGGTGTCCGGAGGTAAAGATGGCGCATTCGGATGAGACAGTGGTGGTGGGTGGTAACCCCGTCATGAACAATAGCAAAGCATCGCACCCGTCATTTTCCGACGTTCCTGGGCCAGTTGCGAGGGATGTTCCGTATCCTGAGTTGCAGGAGTCCGCTACTTCGACGTCGAAGATGGCATCGTTGAACGAAGGAAATGAAGTGCCGGTTCCGGTTATACACGCTGTGGATTGGGAGCCTCCGAAGTCCCCGCTGTTTGCGGATGCTGGGAACCCCGTAGAGCGATGGTTAGATGTTCCGACAGCGACGCCGACTGACAAAAAACATTGGAGGCATTCGCAAAATGTGGCACTTAGCAGGTCGAGTGGGGCAGCCCAACAACTTTTTCCGGTGCTGGAAGACTTGGATTTGTTAAAGAGATCGTCAAATTTGCCGCCGGAGGAAGTTGAACGAGAGATGATGCCAAGCGTAATGGGTAGCGATGCACATGCGCCTTCTGATAGCAACGCTTCGCGCAGTCGCTTGGACGTTAGGGACACACAGCAGTTGTTGCTTAACCCTCGAGGCAGTGAGGTCTCAGGAGAGGCGAAAGAGCCCGTTGCGATGAGTGACAAGAAGGAATCGGAGGAGCAGGCTCCGCCTACCGGAGATAAGCGGGAAGTGATGCCACTACGCAACACAATTGAACCGTGGAGTGTGCAAGAGAGCCCTTATGCGTTGGAGGTTTTCGAGGTGAGTGTGCCTGATTTGTCGGAGGCAGGGGGTGTTGATTTTTGGTTGGAGAACGAGAGCCCGAAAATGTTTTCTAAGTTGTTGCGGGATCTTGAGGAGGCAGGCCGGGTAATTCGCAAGCCGGTTGAATTGCTGCGAAAGCTCAGGGAGAGTGAGGAAGACCCGTATTGGGATAAGTTCTAGAGGTCGACTCAGGTTTGGAGCAGCCTGTTAATGGGTTTTCACTTTTTTTTCTTCTTCTGCGCCTGTGAGTGATGAGTTTAATATGTTGGAGGAGGGGCGCTCAAAAGTAATTGCACTTGTGCTGTAATTCTGCGTAATATAAATTCCAATCTTGGTTGTAGTCTTGTTTTGCATATGAGAAATTGCCTGCGTCCTGTGCGTTTCAATTAAGTTATATTTACTAGCTTTTCTTCTGGGGTGCGCCGTGCCTTTACACCCGAGATGCAGATGTAGACGTTGGGGCTGGGGGAAGGGGTGGCGGTAGACGCGGATCCTTCCCGAAGTCTATAGGCGCAAGCACCCATGTATAGCTGCATACTGTTCTGTGCTTTTTTTTGCACTTTTCCCGCCGTTTGTTCCCCGTTTTGTGTGTGTGCGTGTTTTTTTTTACTAGTATCTCTCTGTATTGCATTGGCAACCGCTTTGCGTTTGTTGGCTGATCGCCATGGAAGTGCGCTTGTGTCCCGTGTGTGACGGCGTATATAAATATTTTACTATTATGATTTATTTGCATTTATTATTTTTTTGGTTGTGTGTGTGTGTGTGTGCGTTCTTCATCATGTTGACTCGTTCCACTTCATCCTCATTTTGTACAGCTTCCCTGCAGGTGAGTAGCGTGGGATATCCCACCCCGGATAGTTGTAGATCTGTCACCTCTTTTATATACATGTGGAGGCTCACGCGATGGTTGTGTTTTCGTCTCACACCGGATCCCTCGTTGGTTGTCATGCCGGCGAGCGTGGGGGGCGTTGAGGTTTACCGCAACGCGGTGAGCAGTCGTGACGAGAACGTCATCTGGGACGAGCTCAGCCTTGTCCTGGAGCGGGAGGGGCAGAAGGTGCTGTCGGAGCGCTCGAGCCCGCAGAACAAGACTGTGAAGCACACATATCTTGAGATGCACGGCGAGCAACAGTTTACGGAGGTAAAGAGTTGGCAAAGGAAAGAGGTGCGGCGGCTTCCGGGGCTAGTGTGGTCGCCGACGCTGATGGCGTGGCTGCGAGGCGTTGCCCCGACTCTGCTGGGGTCTATGCCAGACACTGCGCGCGTGGTTGAGCACAATTTACCCGGCTACGAGATGCACATCGAACACCCCACGGTGGGTGGCTGCTTTCTCTACCTCTCCCTCCTCTCGGACACGGTGCTGTCCTTTGATGATGAGGCGACGGGTCGCCGCGGGCAGGTTTTTCTGCCGCAACGGTCCATGATGCGCTGCTTTGGTGAGGCCAGATGGGGATGGCGATTTGGCGAGCAACCCAGCGCCACACACACGTTTCTTAGTGCTGCCGGTGTCCGGCGTGTGGTGGAGCCGGACATGCGACTTAGCGTGCAGCTGTGGAAGTTCACGCCACAGTTGCTGGATGCGAGGCTGCTGCAGGACAGGGTGGAGGAGTCCGTCCGGCACCTCGAGAGAGAAAAACTCCGAGCTGACGTGGAGCAGGCGGAGGAGGCCTGCGAGTCCCCACAACTTGACTTCACTGCGGTGTCCGGGGATGAAACCACAGGCGGGGGGCCTCTTGGCGGCGATTACGTGGCGGGTCCGTCCCCTCAGCCGGGGGGCGGCGCTAAGGTCACGATGGAGACAATTGGAAAAGACTACGACACCTACAAGCAAAAATTTCAGCACGTCCACGGAGTACTTCAGGAGATGAAGACGTTGCAGGACGCTGGGCAACCTATTAATGACATGTGGTTGAGGCGAAAGATTTTGGACGGCCAGGGAGGCACCGAACACGACAAGAGTGACGGCTTTGATGCCGAGGATGTGGAAGGCACGTGGGATCGCGTGGACGCACGGGCACGCTTCTACAAGGCACGACTTAAGGGCATGGACTACGACGGTAGTGCCAACCTCAGTAGTGCGATGCCGGACGTGACGGAGGATGCGCCGCTTGACATGAAGAAGACAATACGGAAGATTGCCCCACTTGTGAAGGATGGGGAAAAGATACTCGCAAGTTTTCCTGGCGCACAGTAAGCGCGCAAGCGAGCGACAGAGGGAGGAAAAAGGCAAATACGAAAAGTATGATGCGGTGTAGATGCATCATGGATTCGACGCCTCTCCCTGGCAAGATGTGGTGGGTGCTGCAACGACCGTGCTCTTGCACTTCTGCTCTCTTTGACCCTTTATATATTTTGCATCTTTGCTTCTTCTAGTCGTGTTGTTGTTTTTGCGACCACCTTCGTTGATGTGCGTTTTTCTTTCCTTAGCCGCTGCATAGTTTTGCAGATGCGGAGGCGGGCGTATCGACGGAGGTACAGCGCCAGGGTGCTTTGCGTTCCCCTTCTACTGTTGATGCTGATTGCACTCGTGACTTGCCAGAATTTCCTGCGAGTCGTGCATGGCCCATTCCGTGTGGTGGCTCGTGAACAGGTGCAGCAGTACGAAGAGAGGAGGCGGGAGCGGCAGACGCCGTTTGAGGCCGCGTTTGCTGCGAAGGCCCAAGCTGTTCTTAACGGTAGCCATCGTCTTGGAGAAGGGTTGGACGTGCACCTGTTTGTTCTCTGGCATCAAGCGTACGCACAGCGGCGGGCGGTATTGAAAGACATTCGTGATAGTTTTGTTGTGCTCGAGCTGGCAGAGTTCGATTGGGGCGACAAAACGAGGGAGCACCGCAAGTTTATCTCAAATCTTTGGGTACTGTACAGTGGCAAGGGCGGGTGGAGGCGGGAGGGGATGTGGGAGAAGCTACATCAGTGCGGCTACGGAAGATTCACCGCTCTTGCTGTTGCGGACATGCACCCCCGCTACGTAAGGAAGCACACCGCGCACGGCCTCGATACCGTGAACCTCATGATGCACACCAAGAAGGACTTGTACAGAAGGTGGACGGGCGGCGGCTTCAAGGTGCATGGAACATACACCACGCATGAGACCAACCATGACCTTCGCGTCCTGTTCCACACCACCGTTGAGGGCGTCCTTGGAAGAGCGCTGGAGACACGGCTCTACACCAGAGATGCCGTTTCCGCATTCTTGTACGATCCCGCCTCCTTCCTCACGACACGCGAGGTGTATGGGGTTAGCAACGTCGGCAACGAGGCCAGCAGTGACAAAGCTGAAGGGACGACAAAGCAGTACGGCCGGCAAGGCTGGCGGTGTGCTTCGTTTATTTTTGCGCTCGGCTCGCTGACGCGGGTGACGGTGGAGGATGGACGAACCGGGGCTCTGCTTTGGTCGCAGCGCAGTTCGCCCTCCGGGACGCCGTTCGCGGTAGAAGCGGTGACACACGTTGAGTGTGCCGCGTGGCCCGACGCGCTGGAGCTTCGCGCCTGCTCGTCCGAGATGTGGGGGGCTGTGGCACTGTTGCGTGCCTCACCGGCCAATTCGTCAGAGGTGACTTTGAGCAGTACTTTTACCGTTGAACTGGATGGCTCCACTCGAGTGCTGCGTTTAAAAAACTTCGATTGATTACTTCCTCTCTTGTATGACGCTCGTAACGCTCCTCCTCCACTTCGATGTGGGTGCGTATTTGTGCCACTGCCTGAACCGCTTCCTCTGAGGATTGTGGTTCTGGCAAGACGGGAACCATTCACTTTGCTGGTGGGTTTTTGTTTTGGGTAAATGCATCTTTTTTCAATCAAGGACATTTTTGTGTTGCGTTGCGTTGTTTCTTTTTTTATTTTTATTTTTTCTTTTGTGCTTCTGCCTCTTGAGGGGGTTCTACGCGAAGGGAGTCGACGCCTTGCTGCGGGATGAGCTGGTGCACGGCGGCGGAGGTGGCCGACCTGATAAGCGTCAGCAGGCTGCGTCATGACGTCGCAGAGGCAGAGCGCAAGGCGGCGGATTTGCGTTTCATTGAACTTCACGCATCGGCAGTAAACATTGGGGATGCTCTGGTGGAGGTGGCGGTTGCATCCAACGCGGTTTCGTGCGGTGTGCGGCTGGCGGCGGCGTTGACGCTTGAATCGCTCGTGACGGAGCGGGCGTGGTGCGAGGGCATCGGATTCAGCGACAAGGAACGTGTTCTTACTGCACTTCTGGCGTGCCTGCGCGACGCTTCCCTCGCTGCGTCTGTGACTGACTCGCGGCTGAGCGCCTTGTTGTGCTCCTGTCTCTGCCGCATTATCTGCTTTGAATATCCCGCTGCCCGCTGGGATACCTTTATTGACGAGTGCGTATCCGCCGTTGTCTCGCTGGGCGCCACGGAGCAGCAGGCAGGGCGCGGGTTCATTCAGCGCACGCTTCTCCTGCGGTTGGCGGAGGTGTGTGCCGCCAAAGCCGCACTGTGGTGGCGGCTGGCGTCCGTCGTGGTCCGCCGTCTGTTGGCGGGGGCCGCAGTTCCTGGCGGTGCAGGGGAGCCACGGCTGCTGTGCCTTCGTGTGGTGCTTCAACTAATGCGACGGCGTCCGCGCCCGGGTGAAACCACTGAGGCGGAGCGTCCGAAGAGTTCGTTTATCTTTTCCGACGAATTTCGTGGCGTCGTCGGCCGCGGTCTGGAAGAGGGGGCAAAAGTCTTTGAATCAGGGGTTCCCCGCACGATTCTCCTGGAGGAGTGTGGCCTCCTCTTGGACGTCGCCCAGCACCTCCTCGGCGACGATGCGCTCGCGCATACTGTGTTTCGTTGCGCCGTTTGCCTTCTTTCCTCATGCGAGGCCGCATACCTCGCAGACGACGACGACGACCGTTCGCTGGCTTCCTGTGCCGATAAAGCGCTCGAATGCCTGGTTGGTGTGCTGCAGATGCATCCGGAGGCGTCGCTGCTTTGCGACAGCGAAAAGTTCCTCTCAACGCTGTTCAGTTACATGACACGCGCCGTCGCACTTGAGCACGGCGAGGAGTCGGCGCTGCTGGACGCACTGCAGGAGGACTGTGTTGTGCCGTTGGGGTGCGCTGGCGGCGACACAGCCGCAAACGCCGGTGCCGCGCTCGAGCTTCTCATGGAGGCGAACCCGCACTTATTGGGGCTCGCGGTGGGATCTCTTTGCGCCACAGTCACTGAGCTAGAGCAGGGGACCAACTCGGCACACTGGCGGGCGTGGACAACCGCCCTTCGTTGCCTCTGCCGCGTGTGTGACGAGAAGGGCTTGTCGCTCGCGGACAGTCTGCCAGATGCCGCTGGGCGTCTGCTCTCACCCCTTGCGTTGCTTCTTCGGCGGACCGTCGACCCGTTGGAGGCTGCAGAGGTGATTGAGTTGCTCGCCTTGTGCGTTGTGCGGGCGAAGCAGGAGTCCGTCTGTCGTGCCTTTTTCTTCATCCTCGAAGCCACCTTCGACGACGTTGGCGATACTGGCACGCGGGAGCAGGTACTCCTTCTTGCGGTGACCGTTCACGCGGTGCACCGGTTTTTCTCGACGTATGCCCCGTCGCTCCTTCCCGGGAGCTTCTGCGACACGTCGGCGTGGCTGCGGCGTGCACTCGCGGTGATAGCCCGCGGCGGTCCACTGGCCGTGTACTGTGGTGCCCACGCCGTGCAGACCCTGCTGCGCGTCACTCCCGCTTGCACCCTTCCCTCAGCCTCATTGGTGCTCGCCGCGCTAGACAATGCCTGCCGTCAGTGCAATGTTCCGAATGCGTCCTCGCTCCTTGCTGGACTTGTCTGGTCGCTTTGCCGTCATGCTCCGGGGGGGTGCAAGGTTGCGGTGGAGCGGCTAGAAATTTTCTTGTCGCACTGCCTTCAAAATGGCCCGCGTCGCGCAGAGTTACGGCGGTCCCTGACAGATTATTTATGGCGCTTTTTAAGGTCTTACTTGCGGCAAACGGAGTGTCTTCAGTGTGTGGCAACCGTGCTGCACAAGTGCCTTCCTGTCGTTCTGCAGTTTGCCGTTGAAGATGCACCGCACGACGATGCGACGACGCGTCTTGTGTCAAGTTGCCTGGCGGCAGCGGCGACCTGCGATCACGCGGGGGTTCTGTGCGAGAACATCAGCTCCGTCCTCTGGGAGCTCCTCCGTTCCGCGGTGCAGGAACGCCACAGCTCCACCGCGCTGACGAAGATTGCGGCGGCGATGAGTGCTACGGCGCTCATGTTCCCGACGCTCCTGGATGGCGATATGACGGCAGTGGTGTCGCTGCTCTTCAGCAACGTCGATGCGGCCGGGGCGAAGGGGCTTAATTATGCGGGATGCTGCCTTTTGCCCGCACTTTTTTGCGTGCGCCACCCGGAGCATCTGGGAGACATGGCGGCCGCGTTTGTGGCGGCGCCTCGGCACAAGCATTTGGCATGGGGGACGATGCTTGGCCTCTGGAGCTCCGTCGCCCCCCTCACCGATCACTTTACCACGCTCTACTTTCTGGCAGCGTGGTGCCGGCTGTTAGGCTACGCCGTCGCCGCCCGCAGTGAGGGGCAAGACGCCCTGGCGGTGGTTGTGCCCCACTGCACGGTTTACTATCTGCCAAGTATGTACGTGAAGTCACTACCAAAACGGCGGGTGGCGGGCTGTAGCGTGGCGCAGTGTATTGCCCTCGGCCTCGCGCTTGTGGCGCAGCGAGGGCAGAAGTCGGCGAAGGTAAAACTGCTGGAGGAGGAGTTGCTTCAGCCGCTCTCATTAAATCGACGATTTGAGGCGCTTGCGTGCTGCAGCGCTGCCGAGGCGGGGATTGGCGCGCTGTTGTCGATGAGTCCCGCAGAGGGCGCCCACTGGCTGCTGGGGGTGATGTCAGCCGGCGGTTATGGACTGCAGGTTGACACCGCCCTCCGCTTCGCAGGTGAGTCGTAACCGATCAGCTTTACGCTACGTATATCTTGTTACTGGGGACGCCCGGGCTATTGGGTCCGACATTAGTTCCACTGCAGTCCCTCTGTGTGTGTGTGCTTTTATTTTTATTTTTATTTTTTGCTCCTGTCAATAACCCCTGCATTGCCCCCTCTCATTAACAATAATCCCGCAATGCGTGGGGAAGTGTAGTCCGTAGCGCCACCGCAGTAAGGGAAGATGGTTCGCATGCAGGGTGTTGGTCGCGGCAAGTCCGCCTCGTCTCTGCCGTACTGCCGCACGCCCCCGTCGTGGCTTAAGATCGCCAGCCGCGACGTGATTGAAGCCGTCTGCAAGCTGGCGAAGAAGGGGCTCTCCCCCAGCCGCATCGGCATGCAGCTGCGGGACTCCATGGGTATTGCCCAGGTGAAGAACGTTACTGGCCGCAAGATCCTGCGCATCCTGAAGCACAAGGGCATGGCGCCTGAGATCCCGGAGGATCTCTACTGCCTCATCAAGCGTGCCACGGAGATGCGGAAGCACCTGGAGCGCAACACGAAGGACAGGGACACGAAGTTCCGCCTCATTTTGGTCGAGTCCCGCATTCACCGCCTTGCCCGTTACTACAAGCGCGTGAAGCAGCTGCCGCCCACCTGGAAGTACGAGTCCAGCACGGCGTCCGCAATGGTGGCGTAAGGAAAGGCGCACTGCTGTTGTTGTTTTTCTTTTTGTTTTCGCCTGTTTCTTTTCTTTTTTGCTGATTCCATTTTTGTTCTTCCTCTTGCCGTTCATAGGCGCGTGCGTCTGTTGCGCGGGACGCTCCGCTTTTT